CCTTCCCCCCCCCCCCCCCCCCCCCCCCCCCCCCCCCTTCCTCTTTTCCACTCGCCCCAGATATTGTTCGATGTGGTATGAACATGCATGTGAGATTTCAGAACCTGATGTTGACGTGGTTTTGGTTACTGGTTGGTGGGGGGGATATTGGCAATGACAGGACATGGGATTGGGTCTTCTTTCTCCTTCTCTTCCCCTCAATCTGACCCTTGGGCCAACAGCTTTGATTCATCGTCCTTTCCCACTAAAACCCAAGAAAAGACAAGACTCCTCCTTCACATTCTGTGCACTTCCCTTCCCCCTTTTTTGTTCTCATCCGAACCCGTTTCTTATTGTATCTCCTGCCGGAGGCATGCAGCGGGTTGAGGCGGCATCTGAAAGTCAAATTCTTTAATATATCGCACCTAAAGATCTCTTACAATGAACTGCTCATGCAAATGGTCCATGAATCTCAAAACTTGAGCGGGTGATACGGTCCGTCCTCACAGAGAGATAGGCCTCATGTCTGTCAGCTCTCTCGATCTTGATTGAGGGCTATGCTTTTGGGCACTAAAGGAGATGGGGTGCAGCGCTCTAAGTAATACTTAGTTGTATCATCCTCTCCTCCTTCTTAACCTACTGACTGCTCAATCTCGGAGTAACTGATGTAATTGGAGCCATTCCTTCTCCCTAGTGCGGAGGTTGTTGAAGAGAGGCGTTGACCCGGATTCCCCCAATGAAGATGGACTCACTGCTCTTCATCAGGTGCGTTGCTTTGGTTAGCATGCATTTCTTTATTTGATATGAATACAGCCAGTCCTGATGGGAAAGGAAGGTAAAGTAAGAGATGAAGAGAGGTGGGAATGAAGCCGTATGCATGAGTTCACATGGCTAGGGTGGGGCGTCCCGGAAACAATCCACTGCACTGGGAGAAATACCCTGTAACGGCTTCTTCTCACTCCTGCATGGCATACAGCACAGGAAATATTGCTTTAAGAGAGTCACTCTCTCCCTTCCGCCCGAGGAAGCTGGGCAAGAGAACAATCTCATCGTATTGACGCCTTAAAATCCCTGGAGGATTGCCTGTCTGGAGAATCTCATCCTTTCAAGTCCCCGTTTGCGTGCGATAAGAACAGAAGTTCCAAGTTGACCATTGGGGTAACGGAGCCTTCCTTCTCTGCCTGTTTCCTTCTCAGTCTTTTGAATTTCAGCCTGTCAATTTTATTTTTTGATTCCAAGTCACCAGAGAAATTTTGAATTATTATTATATTATAGATTATCATATAGGTTTTCACTGACTGCACTCCTAGCTCCCTTCACCTCTACCCTCCATCCGTCATGCTCGAATTCAATAAGTGAAGCAACATGCGTAATCCATTATCTTGGAGAATGGAGAGAGCATCATCCATTAATTCCCTCCGATGCAAAGGTTTCTGGCATGACGTTTGTAGATGTGAAAGGGTCGTTCTGGCAGGGTCTCTCTTCGTCCCAAAGGACAATGTGACAGAGCACTACGCTGGATGGAATGTCGTCGTCCAGGTGTCGTTCCGTTTGGATTCATCAACTGGTATTGGTATCTCTTCGATGCGAGGCGTAGCATTCCCCGTCATGCATGGCCTCGTCCTTGGTTTCTTCCTTCATCTTGGTCAGTGCTCCCGTGATAAAGTGAGAATTGGGATGACATGAAATTGGTTGCTTGTTCCACACGCTTTGCTTCTTCCTATTGCATTATCTTTGCCTTTAACTCGCAATTGGGATTCACAAAATCCCAAGAAAAGTATTATTGGACTCGCGACTGAGATCTCAATCCCAAGAATAATGGAATACGTACTTCTTTATTTTGGATACCCATAGCTTTCCTTACATTTGGACAATACTGATGGCTGTTGTCATGGCAACGTATTTAAAGGGGCGTCAATAAAACCCGCCAGGCAGATTTCACTTATGGCATTTAAATCCGCCTTTTAAAAGTTAAATAGTTTGGCTTCAAAGAGCAAATAATGGCCCCTCATGTTGAAGCGGGAGGGTAGTGCTTATAATTATGGAGAAATCCTCACTCTAAAAATGGGACACTGCCGCAGCTCGTGCTGATTAAGATCGAAAAAAGAAAAAACAGGCTGTGCAGCAGTGTTATACAGATAGTGGTGAAAGACTTTTCAACATACATTTTCCCTCCACTGGAAATATGGTGAAATATGCACACGTCCTGTTTAGAAAATAGAGGCTAATGTTTCTAGGGCATTTTTTATTCCTCTAAAGGCCGTACTTCATTGATGTGGTTGAAACCTAATATGAACAGATGGAAGTTTCTCTTGAAACAGAATCCTAATGGAGCATGCGGAGGAACTTGGAGAATGTGATTAGCTGCCTTTTCAGATTACGGGCCTCTCTTCTGGTTTTCTGTCTTTCATCTACCAAGTTCTCATTTAGAATCTGATGGGACAGTGCAGCATCCCAGGGGATAGAGAGATTGGAACTACTTTTCTCTCCATCCTTCTTCCACTCTCCCCATGGACCATCGTGTGCCTTCCTGATAGCAGGCAGTTTAAAGCCTGTCTGAGACAGGGGTAGGTGTACACAGCGGATGAGAAAATGAATCCATCAGAGAAGTACAGCTAAGCTCAGGTTCCCAGTCTTCTTGTTTCCGACACATGAATCGATGGACACAATGATGGAAAGGGATGTTTACTTTGCTATCTTGCCATATTCTTTACCCAGAAGGAACCCAATACATGAGGTATCCTCCCTCGGCATGTCTTTGCAGGCAGTTTCCTTGTAATCCCAGCTTACCAATGATATTCAAGGCTTGTGGATTCTGAATAACTCTAAGTCATATCAGATTTGGAAGCATTTGATTCCATGGTTGATACATTATGATGACACTTAACCTGACATGAATTGGTTTTTAAGTGTAGTGAGAGTTGTCCATGCATGAATTAGTGGATGATTCAGATTCTTTGGTTGAAAATTTGATTATCATCTCTTCTCTTTGCTTATAGTGCTGCATTGATGACAATGAAGAAATGATGAAGTTGCTCATTGAGCATGGTGCAAATGTTGATGCAGAAGACAGTGAGAAATGGACACCTCTCCATGCAGCAGCCACTTGTGGGAACCTGAATCTAGTCAAGTATCTCATTAGCAAGTGAGTATGCTTCTGTCACTAGGTTTATGAAAGTTTCCAAGTGCCAGTTTACTGGCACTTGTGTTCAGAACTTGTGTTCAGAACTCTTGTGTTCAGAGTATGGAAAAAACGGAACCGACTTTTAACCTTTATATCTCTGCTTTTACAGTAACCTTTTTGAAATACAAAATTGCCCTGTGCATAGACTGATCAGCACCCTTTTGAAAATCCATGCAAAATCATCCCTCCAAGCAAGGCTATGAGGCAATGATATTCCAAAGGTATTTGAAATTGAAAATGAATAGGGGACTCCATTCCATGCAGAGTGAGTAAACTCTACATGCCCCCTCTTCTCACCTTAACAAGGAAGAAAATCTGAATGAACTTTGAGCAAACTCTCTATTGATGCATATCAATTAATTAGGTATTAATTTGAGAGTCTCATTAGAAGCATCTGCATCAAACAACCATCCAAAGAAGTAATGAATATTAATGGAAGTGATATTTGGTATGACCTGGAAGATGATATGTATCCAGAGTGGAGAGGCGTTTCCTCCTCAACTACCAGTACCTGTGTCCATTTTAATTATCCAACCTCATTTGAATGTGCTCATAGCCTTGCTTCAGCACAATGAATTTTTTGTGAAATTTCATGTGTCTTGGAATTGTATTAACCTATGCACAGTGTAGGTTTACCAAAAAAAAAGATGATGATATAACTAAGCCATGAGACTATAGTACTGGTATAAACATGCCATCCATCACAGTGGAAGCAGGTATGCAAGTAAATGTTCCAGAAGGAGTATGACTTTCTTAACACTAATGGAAAATGTGTTACTATTGCTTTCTTGTCATACTGGAAAGTCTTAAAAGTAATAGAATCAGGAAAAAAACATAAGCTGGTTTTACTGCTCCTTACAGCACAACAGAATGTCAATACCAGAACATAAACAGTATGTTCTGAAAGTCTGGTCATTATTTTACATAAAAAACTACAGGAATGTCCATTACAAATTCTATGATGTTTTCAAAGACAAATGGGAGTTTCCATATTTATTATAATACTAGCAGAGGTACCTGGTGTTGCACAGGTGAATATTGTAAATGTCCCCTATTTGAGGGTTTAATATTGTTTTAATGGCTCTTTGGCAAATCCAGCTGGAAATTTGTAAAAATATATAGCTTTTACAACACGACCAATTGGAAAATTCCAGTAGCAAACTGCATGTTGCAACTTAAATTTTTTTAACGAGCCCCCAAAATTTTTACTCTGGGGGGGGGGGGGTGTTTGTAGTAGTGGATCAGCCAAATCTGCACTAAATAAGATACCACAAGGGGGTCCGAAATTTGAAACGCCACCTAGCCTATGATCATCCCTGGACCAAATGAGGAAGCCATGCAAAGTTTGGTCAGACTGGAATCAGAGGTGTGGCCATGTATAAAGGACAGACATGCACACAAACACTCTGAAATATGAGTAGTATAGATTAGAACTTGCATTGAAAAGGTATCAGGCTAATGGCTAATGTTTCCAATGGTGTTTTTCAGTAGTGTTTGAAATTTGCTTAGATGAATAGATGCCATGTTGAGGTGTGAAGGGTAGAAATTCAACTTGAAAGAAAAACTCCCATATATCCTTGAAGACTGCATTAGATTTGTTTATGATGTACCTTTGTAGTATTTGGTAGAAAGAATAATGAAATAATTTAATGACTTTTAAGACAGGATTGGTGGCAAATCAATAAAGGAGAATCAATTGAGGCATATAAAGTGATTGATCTGGGATAAGTAATTTTTTTGTGTGGTTAATATTTTTGCAGCTTTGATTCCCTTTACATCAGAACATGGGAGACTGTATGATTTAACCCTTTCATTGCAGAATTTTCACAGTGCTTCTGGGTAACATGACGAGTATACTCAATGAGTATACTTGTCAACTGCAGCAAAAAGATTTCATATTCCTATGACTAACCCTGACAAATCAGTAGCTGCCAAATAATATTAACTGCAAAAGGAGCAACATATGTAAATGTACCTGAAGCCCCACATTGTGAAAATTCAATGAGAAGGAAATTCCCTTTAACAAAGTATATGGTATACCTTGCATATCTGTAACATTTGACCTTCCTATGTTGAACATGCTTTTCCCTAAATTCCAACATCCACCACAACGATGCATTTGACTTTCCTTAACCATTTGACTAACCAGGCTTGTTTTCTTTTGCTCATAACTCATGTTTTTGCTAACATGCCAGAATCATTCAGTCTGCCTGATGTATGATACTTTCTTCTTCATTTTCATCACTGATGTCTCTGCTAAACACTTTTTTTCCTCACTCTTTTTTTCCAAACACTCAATTTTTTACCGATGTATTTTTAGACATTTCTAGCATGGTATGCAGCTCTAGGCCTGGTAGTAAGAGGGTTAATGTCACTTTTGATGCTCCCAAGCAGCACAGCAATGCATTTGAATTTCCTTGTCAAATTTGACATTCTTATTACCACATTTGACCTAGAAAATCTCTAAGTTAAGATATAATTTAATTCTAGTATTTTAAATTAAAGGAACTGTGTTATTTGGTGAAATAAAAGATAAACAAAGATGGGTGGGGCTGATATTGGACCTACAGAGCTTGTTCTTGCCAATTTTGAACTCAATATCAGAACTTGGGTGGAAATGGGTCCATCTCCTGACTAGACAATATTGGAGTTTGTCTAGACATGACAAACTTTGATAATGCCTGTTTCCATGCATGAGTTATGCTATTTCAGTGTTGATATGAATGCAGAGGTATCCTTCTCATGGATATAACTACACCTGATTGTTCTTGAAGATCCCAGTGCACAAAGAACTGAAGTCTATTCTTTTTTTTTTCTCCTCCCATAGTAGTAAATTACTTTTTTGTGATCACTCTACTCAAGTTTAGGCATTAGCCTAAACCTAAACCCAGCACAACAAATTATGTCTAACGGAAAGAGAGATGGAAACTTATCCCAACTTAGAAGAATAAAAAGCCATAGTCTAGCCTCATCAAGATGCAGCATGTAAAGGTCATGGTAGGAATGTCATGGGCTATTGAAGGTGAAACAATTCAGATCCCTTGGTATTTCTTGCCCTGTCTTTGTTCTTAGTTTTTACTTACCATATATCTATGGAAGTTGTGACTGTATACTTTTTTTTAGCATTTGAAATTCCGTATTTTGAATACAGCATGCCTTTGAATTCATCTTGTTTTTATATGGGATATGTGTAATTGTGTTTTTCCCAATTACCTCTATAGGGGTGCTAATTTGCTGGCAGTGAATACTGAGGGGAATATGCCCTATGACATGTGTGAAGATGATGCCACCCTTGATTACATTGAATCAGAAATGGCAAAGAGGGGTGTAACACAGCAACTCATTGAAGAAACACGGATGGCCACAGAAATGAATATGTTGATTGACTTGAAGAGGCTCCATAAGCAAGCATGTGATCTTGACTTCAGGGATGAACATTCTGCCACTCCTGTAAGTTTATATTTGTTTCATTGTCGCAATGTGTTTGAATCTGTTGATGCACAAGTTATTGCTCCTTTCAGTTACATGTGGCTGCGGCTAATGGTTACCTACGGGTGGCTGAATACCTCCTTGAGGAATGTCATGTTTCAACAGAAGTTGCTGATGAAGATGGTTGGCAACCCATTCATGCAGCAGCAGCATGGCAACATGTATAAGTCCTTTTTCTGTATTTTTCTCTATTTACAGTAACCATACCTTGAGCATCTCTTAACTTCTCCAATTGCCCTTCAATGTGCTAATTATCAGAGTGGCAAGAGCTCATTATTCATTGGTCTTACTCAGTGAATTAGAATGAATGAAACATCTTTGGTGTATAATATTTTTTTTTATGGTTCTATTTCAGGTTTTTCAGGTTCAGGTTTTTTTTTTCTATTCTGGCTAATTGAATTTCTTTGAACCATACCAATACAGTCAGAACAGTTTATCATTCCATTCTTGCGAATGGATTTAGGTGTTGCTTGGGTATTAAGCTTTAAATGGAATAAAAATAGATTAATGGAACATGTTCAAATGACAGTGAGGCTCAAGTTTCCATATTAATTTATCAACCTTTTCAGTCTTCATTGTTATGATACAGAGGTGTAAAAAAAAAAGAAAGAGCTATTTGTGTTCTGGTCTAGTTACCATCAATATGAAAGAGCCATAGGCCTAAAGTTGTCCTTGTTGTACCTTGAACCTGGAATTGCTCTACCTTGAAGCAAAAGTTGCCATTTTATCATTTGAGAGCTTGCATTGAGTATAATAAGAAAATGGAGTTATTACTTTGTTATCTTAATGGAAAATTGAAATTTTTGGATTGAATTTGTGTTGGATTTGTTATCTCCATGCCTGAAATGAAACCTTTTATTTTAACAGGGCTTTTTTTTATTGACTGTTATACTGGTTGTGGAAAGTTTTATTAAGAATTAAGCAATTTCTTTGCTAGCAAATCTAGCAAATTACTAGTTTCTCTTTGAAATGTAATTTAAGTATTTTGAATTTGATGCTAAAGAAATAATTGCATATACCTATTGTTATCAATCAGTGCTTTCGAATGCTGTTAGAAACTGTCATGTTGACAGCTCCATGAGCTCTATGAAAAGAATTGAATAAATATAAACATGATGTGCACTAACACTGTAACATGATGGCAGTTTAAATATTTAGTTTCTCTTTCAAATGGACTGATTCATATCTTTTTATAATCTATTTTCAATAGGCTATCTCCATGAATGTGATGTGTATCTACTTGCAGCTTGATGTTCTGGAATTACTGGTTCATAATGGTGCAGATCTCAATGCAAGGACCAAGACTGGTGAAACTCCTGTTGGTAAGCATTGGTTGCCTTCAAGGCTTCTGCAGGGTTAGGCCTATATGTATACATTAATATTTTCCTTCTTTCTTCAAGATATATGTGAAGATTTGGAGATGAGGGATCGAATCCTGCAGATGAAGAATGAGCAAGAGAAGGAAATACTGAGGAGCCGGGAGAGGAAGTTGAAGAGATCACATTCCAGCAACACAAGAACTCAGTCAGTTCGAAGGCATTCCATACGTGACAAAGCTCAAACACCCCGCAAAGAGGCCAGGGATGAAGCAAGAATAAGACTTCATCAAGCCTTCCAAGTAAGCTCATTAACTGCTGAGGTGAATGATAAATTATTATGCAAATACCATTATAGCTCAGACAGATCAACAAATCCTCTTTCTATTCTATGGATTTCCTCCCCTGCCTCCTGGAATAGTGAAATAAAGAATCAAATTTTATGCAGAAACATATTACCACAAAAACCTCAAGTTTTTCTGTCCAATTACAGAGGCAATGGCTTGTTTGAATACTGAATATAATTGGAGTAGCCACCTTGATTTCTGTATTTTTATTTTGTTTTATTATTTGAATGTAACTGTTCCTTGTATCTGCCAGGAATTAGTCTATTGCAGGGGTTTCTCAGCCTTTCTTCCAGTGAGTCTCTAGTGACTCTTTAAGTGCTTCTGTACTACAATAACTTTCTACTATTCTTTGTCTGTCTCAATACAGTCATTTACTTCACACAAATAAATTCCAAACAATCAGCTGAGTGTGATCAATCAGTATTTTTGCACCACCAGGCCAGATTGAAGTAAAGGGTGCCCCATAAGTCATTATACCATTTTTTAAATTCACAACTACTAAACAGTTGGCACAAAAAGAAGTAACATTAACTAAATGATAGCTTTAGAACACTGCTTAACCCTCTCCTTGCCAAAGTGCTTGAAAGTGTCTAGACAAATTTTTCACTCCTAGCCAAACCCGTTGTAGGCATTCTTTTTCAAAGGACTCCTAGTTTCACCTGTTGGACTATTGAGTTAGTATTTGGTGCTTCAGCAGTTTATCCAGATTACATTTTGTAAAATAATATGGTAATGTCTGGGGAACCAAGGCTTTAGAATAGGGCCAGGAGAGGGTTAAGAGACACACTGGACCTCATGAGATTGTTACTATCTACTGAGTTATTTCTGTTTAAGTGAAATAATGTAAAAAATCCACAAACAATTTCTTGCTGGAAGCATAGGAAGTGGGTTGAGGAAAAACTTTAGCAGTCTTCTTGTGTAGCACATCCTGAATTGGAGCAAACTTTTCAGCTGAATGTTTCAGGTGTAGCATTAAGTTATGGGAACTTCTTTTTTGGATGTGAATTGCATCAATTCCTGCCAACTGATTTTCCTTTTCATTAATTATGGCTAATGCCATAAACCTAGAGATTCCTAGATAGGACTGGCATTCAACATCAACAATAGACCTATAACTTTTCTTCCTCTGCTTTGAGCAATGGTTCATGTCCTCGTGACTCAATCATCCTTCTCAGGCCAAAAACGTAACCTAGAGTTCTAGGGTTGCATACTTAAAAATTAGATAACCATTTCTGGGAAAGTAATGCCCTAATGTAGGATTGGATTTCAGTCAGCAGCAAGTTACTGCAATAATGCAGTAAATTTTTGCCAGGAGTAATTCCCCCTGTTATTGGACTCCTTTTTTGGAGGGAAGAGTAGCAAGATTATGTTCTTCTGTAACTTTTTTGCGTGAAGCCCTGAATGGCTTGATTCTTCTTCATCTGGCATCAACACCCCTCCCCCACAATCCATTGATTTGCTCATTATACTTCACCCAGTTGAGAGATGAGGGCATTGCTTCCCAATCCCCTACCTTTTGCATTTCCTGGTAGTGTCCCTGCCTTTGTGTGACAGACCTCTTTGACTAACTTCCCTTTTCTGAGTGATGAATTTCATTCTACCCCCTACACCATTGCATCAAGTCCAACTTGTGAGTCTTTGCTTTATTTACTTACCTGAAAAGTAATCTAAGCTTTCCAACAGTGTAGATAACTCAGTAGCTAGCAGGAACATGTACCTGAAACTTGGTATGGTAGGTTAAAACCACCAAACAAGTTTGGACACTCTTAATGTTTATTGTTAATAACTACACATTTGCAAGAGCAACATCAGAGAGTTCTTTACCCAAGATGACCATGTTAATAAGTGAAAGACTTGTGATGGCCACAATCTTTCAGCATGATTTTGAAATGCTAAGCAGAAATGAATGTCATGTCATGGACAGAGCAAATTCAAGGAAACTAGGGAAAATAAAGCACTGCTACAAGGGAATATGCATGCCACGAGCAGATTTCTGCCTTACTTTTGGTGTGTCTGAACTATGTTTGGTTCAAACTTCATTTTTTCGCATATACGTTTGGACACTCGTGTATTAGGAATTATTGGAAGCAATAAGGCTTCAATGGTCAACATTTTTATCACACTCATACCTATACATATTGTGTTGTTGGATACAAAAATAAAGTATCTGGGTTGTACCATTAAGGTGTGACAAGTGATTTACAATCCTATCCTGGCTTAACTGTCCAAACATTGCTGGTTTTACCCTAGCAACACTATCCTTTAAAAAATATATTTTAAAGATGTTTTGTTGTCATTTACAGCCAAAGCTATTAGATATAGGTTAGCTGAAAATGAGTTCATTTGGAAACTGAATTGAAATATGAGGTAGGGTATGGAAATATTTATAAGCTTTGAAATGAGGTATAAAATTTTCACCTACCTTTTATGCTTTCTGAGAGAAGAAGGAATTTGTCCTAAGGCCTCTGCAAAGAAGCTTGCTCAGGTCAAACCTCTGTGACCCTATATCCTGGGAACTATTAGTGTGAATAAAGAAATATATGGCCTGATTTTTGTATCAAATAATGCAAATGTCTATGCCAAAATTCAAGTAAAACTATGAAATGTCTCACTGATTGTTGGACTCTTGATGTGGAATGATCTAGGTATTAAATAATTCAAATCAGACGTTACTTTTTCATGCAGAAAAAATATTAGTACGATACAAAATCCAGGTGGTGGAACTGGTGCATGTCACTGCTGCCTAGAATGAGGGTCACATGTGACTTGAGTCCCAGGTTGAGAATCCCCAATCTATTGTCTGATGTATGCATTGCCTTCCTGACAAGAATCCTTAACATTCTATATGGCTATTGTTCTCTTGTTTATTGCCTCTTTCTGTGAAGGCAAACACATCCTTTTTCCAATAGGAAGCTGAAAAGGAAGAGGAAGTTACCATGAAAGACCTGTATGAGAATCCACCATTAGAGCTGGAGGATGTCAATGTTTGTGTTGTTCCTCCTTTTCCACATCGGGGCACACGCGGTGAACTCTTCCTGGATGAAGAAGATTTTCCTTCAAAAACGTTTAATTCTCGAAAGGACCTCAATTCAACCCTTACTGAGAAGCCTGCACAACATCCTCAGCAACAGGCAGTACAGTCACAACCAGTCATTTCAATTGAAGAGGAACGCTTACCAACCTTGGATGTACAGAAGAAAGCTTCTAAGAAAGCTCTCCCAGGTATGTCTGTTTGTTACATTTTTACATGTCTTCATGTCCAAGGAGTAATTTCATGATTCAGGTGCACTTTCTGAATTGCAAAACTGGCTCAGTGAAATTCAGTGAAATTTTTAGGACTCTAGCCCCCACATACATCCGGACAAAGAAAGGAACTTTGGTTTTGCTAAATTTTGTTCTGAAACCATTGGGAGAAACAGGCTAATGGATGAAATGGGTACTATTTGAATCATTCCAGCTATCTTCTTTCCACTCTCCCTCTGCACATATCTCCCTGCTGACAAAGGGTGTCAAAAAATGGGCACTCCCATAAGAATCTTTACTATCTTTGTTGAATGTGAGTGTATGAGCTTTAAATTTTGCAAGGATGCTCAGTAACTACAGGAGATTTTTTCTGTTATCAATATATTGATAGAAATGGTGAATTACAGCATTAAAAAGACTAGTTTTTGTGGTGTTGTGCATTTGAGTAAAAAAAGTCATGAGAACAGTGAGAAGGGCATTTTGCAAAGAGGATAGAGTGAGAGATGGCCCATTGAAGTCAATGATCAGCAGATGGATCAACAAGTTTAAATGGACAGGAGATGGAATTTCATTTCAGCTGTACAGGAATATGGGCTCATGCAAGAAACCTGGTTAGTGCAGGATGGTGTGAGGCCTCACTGTGTGTGCAAGGAGTTAGAGTTCCTCAGCTAACATTTTGAAGATAGGGTTATTGCTCCGGATTAGAACAAAGCATCTGGAATGAGAATTAAATTACCTCCTTGTCCCTTTGACCGCAACATGTGATTGCTTTCTGCATTAAAGATAAAGTTCATGTAAACAACCAAAAAACCATGGAGGAGCTTCAGGATACCATTCAGAGTGAAATTGAAAATATTTCCAAAGTGGTTCTTGAAGCTGTCACCCATAATTTCATTGTTTGGCAGTGTCACTTGGTTGCAAGTAAGGGCACCCACATTGAGCACATCATCCCATATTTCCTGCAGTTGTAGCTTAATGTGCTTTTTGAGTTTTGTTTCTAGCTTTTGTAGATTTCAAGAAAAAATTTAATTTGGAAGCATCCATTATTCGACACCCTGTACCGGGTGCGACAGCCTACTTGGGACAAACTCATGAGCAAACTTTAAATTTCCTGAATTTTGTATTTACTAAATTCTTGGCTTCAAGGCTTGTATTGATTAAAGTTATATTAAGTGCAGTTTATTTAACACTATCAGCATGCACATATTTTCCAAACACACTGTGCAAAAGTAAAAAACTGTGGCACTATTGCACTTTTTGTCAAAAGTGGAGTAAAGTTTATGCAAAGTCCGAACTGCACTTGTTAAACTGAAACTGAAACATGCAAATGGTAGTGCAAATCACTTTCAACGCCACTATTACTCTTTGCTGCTTCAACTGTATTGCTAGTTCCAACAGCAAAGCTTCATATGACTGTAACTGTGACTGTACACTGAATTTTGCCTAAAAAACTTAAAACAGTGCACCGGCCAATTGTCACTGCAGCAAATCGTCAGTCACTCAGTGGAAGCCCATTGGCAGCGATGATGTGCTCCAGATGGCCACGAAATGCGCTGCAAGCATCGCGAATGAAGTCTGAGGACAGGCCATTCCATGCAGCCAGAATGGCATTCCTGAGCGAGTCCAGATTGTTTTGTGGCCCACTGTTGCTGACTCGGACCACTTCGTTCCACATGGAGTAATCAAGCGGGTTTGCATCAGGTGACGATGATGGCCAACAGGTCTTGTCCCAGAATTCGCTGCCAAAATTCTGAGCGAGCCACTGCTGCATCCTGGCTGCTGTGTGTGCCAGAGCACCATCCTGTTGGAAGCAAATTTGAAATTCTGGGCTGATGCCTCTGTTGTCGTCATCAGCTTCTGGATACTGGGCCAGGATCCAGGCTTTCACCTGCTCCAGAACATCCAGGTACGCCTCACAGTTGAGGCGTGCTTTGGGCTCAAACACCACAAGGGGCATCTTGTTTCCATCTGATGCGTTGAGGCCAAAGCACATGAGGGAGGCTGGTTGTTTGGACTTGAAGACTGCGTGCTGGTCCCTTTCCTCAGCATCAGCAGCAAGAATTCTACGATTGCGATGATTGACGTGAATGTCCTGTGTGAAAATCTTCTCGTCTGTAAAGAAGATCACACCTGGCCGTCGCTTCAGCGCATTGACAAGTCCGCAACACCTTGCAAGCCGAGCCTCTCGCTATCCTGGAGTCACCAGCTGCCTCACAGGAAGTGCGTAGGACTTCAGGCCCAAATCACAAGCTGTATGCCTCAAAGTGATGTCAGATACGTAAAATTCTTTGGCCAGCTGCCTGATACTCTTGCTCGGATTCTCAGCAACCGCTGCTGCCACTTCGGTCTTGACCTCTTCAGTTCGCTTCAGGTTGGGTGGCGCTCTTCCTTTTCTCCGAGTCTCTTGATTGTCTCCGGCCTCCATGACGCGGTAAACAGTGGAGCAAGACACACCGAATGCCTCAGCGACGTCCTTAGCTGGCATTCCATTGTCTACTGCTCGCTTAATGTGCCGCTTTACGTCCTCACTGAGATCTGGGCCAGGCATGTCAGAAAATCCACAGGTGGCTTGCTAGGAATTACCTTCTGCATGCAGAGTGATATTTAGGAGCAAAATTGAGCAGTTTGGTCCATCCAAAGCTATGGGTATTTAACCTTTAAATAGCAGGGTTATTTAGCGGAGTCCTAGGCCACTGTCTGTGACAATTTTCAAATAGTTATTGCCAGCTGAAAGCTCAAAATTTGCAGTAAAGAAAATGTCCCAAGTAGGCTGTCGCACCCGGTATATAATGATACCCTGTGAATTGTAGCAATTTGAGCATTCACACTGTGCTTTGATTGCTTCAAACCCCATGTTTTACCCTTTCTATTCCATTTTAAAGCTTAGTCTGACATGGTCAATTTCCCTATTCCATTTACAAATTTTGATGCAAATTTCATTTGAGACCATTTTCTCCCTCGTCTCATCCATTGTTGAACTGAGTTCAACAGTGACTGCAGTAATGCGATGTTCAACTATTATGTGGCTGTTTCGTTGTTGCATTACATTTTTGCAAAGAATTAATTTGAACTGGTGTGACAAGTAGATGTCAGATATTGGAGTGCAAAGGATTCTCCCTTCTGTACAAGACAGGGTCGAAGATGTATATGAGTATATGGACTGACAGGTAGATTCATTTTGTTGGGAAATCATGAGTCAACATAAAGTGATGGTGACACAGGTACCTGCATTCCCAACAAAGGACTCTGGATACTCATACTTAAACCTTGTTGCTTCTAGAGACAGGCCTGCATTTGCCATAATTCCATAGAGTCCTGAAAATCTGGATACCAAGTGGTATCGGATTCATTCCTAAAGCTATCACTTCAGATCATAAGATGCTTTTTTGACTACAACAACTGCTAACCTAGTGTCAAATAAGGTGGAATGAATTTTTCTTTGGGAGTAGTGTAAACTTTTTTCTAAAAACATTATACAATTTGAAAAAATTGTATAATGTATATTTCTGGAAAGAAATGTTTGTTGAAGTTTATGCAATTCAGAATAGCATTTTGAATGAAGCACTTTTCTATCTCCTAACTAAATTAAACAAAATTTTAGAAAAAATTCCTGAAAATATTTGTTGGCACATTGTTGGAAGAGGATATACAGGATGTCCCAAGAGGTATGGAAACATTTTTAAAAAGTAATATCTCTCTAAGAAAAAAAAGCCTTAAATTAAATTATTGAAACAGTAAAAGAAAGAGCAATTCAAACATTTTTTAAACCTGATATTACAATTCTACATGGGCACCATTTGTGATTCTGCAGATGCCCTAACAACGTTTGAGCTTTTGCCATGCCTTATGTGGAATGTCAGGCATAACTGTCTGGATAACTGTGATGATTGTTTTCTTCAGATCTTGGAGATTGTAGACTTTTCTTGAGTGAACAATGTCCTAGATATAGCCCCACAAAAGTGACAGTGTCTAAGGGGGTGAGATCAGGTGATCTTGCTTTCCACTCAATCCACTGATCTGGACATTTTAAATTATTATCCAGAACAAGTTTGCAAAAATGTGGAGGTGCACTTATCTTGTTGGAAAATCAGATTTTCTCTGGCACCTGAGCTCACCCCTTTGACTTTTTTTTGTGGTACTATATCAAGAACTTTGTTTACCTAAGTAATGCTGACAATCTCCAAGATCTGAAGAACAGAATCATCATTGTTATCTAGACAGTTATGCCTGACACTCTACATAAGGTGCAAGAAGAGCTTGAATGTCATTTGGACATCTGCAATCACAAATGGTGCCCATGAGGAATTGCAATATCTGGTAAAAGAATGTTTGAGTTGCTCTTTCTTTTACTGTTTTAAGAGAGGTATTACTTTTTAAAATGATTTGGTGATTTTCCATAGACAAGAGCCACAGTCAACTTGAAGGAAGACCAAGTCATTTAGCATTAAATCAATCTAGCAGCATAATAGGGGGTTGATAGCTTGTCAATTTTCATATATCAGTTATCTCCTGACTTGTAGAGCTGCCTAGTTGTTGTGCATGTAGTTGTTTTCCATTACTAGGATCTATTCATTTCATAGACCTATAACTTTATGCACATGAAGATGATCATGAATAGGCCTAGGATTTCCATGAGGAGAAACTGTGTAGGAAGCTGCTTCTTGCATTGCATGTTTACTCACTCCCAGGCTGGTATTTGCTTCAATGAAGTTGACATCAGGTTGCTTGGAATTATCATGCTTATACAGGGTATCCAATAAGTTTATGATTGGGGCTTAGCCTGCCACTCTTGTAGGAGACAAAATGCATCCAGGGAATGCAAAAATATAGCTGTACTTGCATTAAGCTTGAATGAATTGTCTGAGTGCATGTAGTGAATCTGAGTGGAGAGTGATTGATTGTGCTTGTTGCATATGCATCAGCTTCTGCTTTTGCAAGTTGATGGTTTGTTTACTTGGCAGCACCTGCCCCACCCTCAGCCCAAGTCCATGTCCAACCCCAAGCGCAAGCTCAAGGGATGTCTCAGTCACCCCCAGGTGTTGCTACCTCATCCTCATCTGATGGGGTGAACTTGAATGTCCATGTTACTGTGACCCTGAGTACAAGTGGTAGTTCATCTAGCTCCCCTCCCACTTCCTCTGGGTCTTTACCAAGTCCTGGGACTCTAGCCGATTTAAAAAAGCAGCGTGCCTTAACTCGTACATCTCAGCATGGCTACGTCAATTTCTCTGCAGATTCTTCCCCAACCCTTTCTGGCCCAGCTAATGGAACACTCCAGGTGGATTATCAGTCTCCCCCAAGTCCTAGTTCTCCTCGCAAGTTTGTCGGGTCACCCACTGAAGTTGTTGGCACTCCAGAAAAGAAGGGCTGCTGCATCCTCATGTAGCGGGATCTCTCTGACTAATTCAACTTTCTTCTCATCTGAAGAGCAGTGGGGTGATAGTGTGATAGTGGAACATCATGGACACTCATGGTTGATCTGCTGTTGAGTTATTTGAACTGAATATTTTGCAACTGACTAATGGTGCTCCTGCAATTGTTATCCTATTTGAAAAGCCCTGTTAACTTCTTTGTCTAATGGGTATACTGCAGAGTAGTTCTGTTGGCTGTTTGTTGACAAAATGGCCAAACATATTGTTACACCTTCACTTTGAGCTATGGCATAGTGTTTTTTTCTATGCTTTCTTGAAACATTTGCATCAATGATCTGTGATATGTGGATGCCCAAATTTTGAGGTGTGGATGCAATCCAAAATGCTTTTGTAAACCAAATGATAGATGAAACAAGATTAAGCAAAATTCATTTGAAGTGGTTCACTAATTCAGTTGCTCTTACACAGCTGGGATTAATAGGATCCAAAGCCCTTAGAGTCATAGCAGAATTGAACAATAGATGATATTGATTACTCTGCTTCATTTTCTCAATTCTTATTTTTAATATATTTTTCAAAACATGAAATCAGGGAAGCAAATTAAAGCAATACAGTATTCAAACTGGGGAAGGTTTATATCTGATTCCATGTTTGTATGTCATTTTTACCGCTGACTTTTTCCCTTCCCATTCCTCTTCCATTGCTGTTTTTTTTTATTTGCATAATTTCCATTCCTGTCTGGTCTAATTAACCATGAGTAGATTGGAGCTTAATTAGGAATAGGTTTTTTTGGAAAGTCTTATGGCATACATGGAAGCATGCCTTTAATTTTTTTAAGATAATTTTTTTTTACTTGAAACATTGTGCTTTCTTGAGCATTCCACAGTTGTTTTTAGAAAAAATTTTCATAGACTTTGAACAATGTGTTCAAATAAAGAAAAAATGTGCCCAATAGCCATTAAAATGGGAAAATTATCTATATTTAAATTGGTTTTGTCACCACCATACTTCCTGGCATTCATGCCTTTTCATAATTTTGGATATAATTCTTGATTGAACTGAATCTGGATCCCAAACAAAGCCAAGACTTTTGATTTTCAACACTTTCAAAAATACTATACATCTTGCCTTATCATGTTGTAATTACTTCAGTATTTCGCACATTTTTGGAACTAATTCTTGGGGTAAGTATGAAGTGGTCTGCTATTGGCATTTGTCATCAATTAAAAAATGTGACTTTCCTGTGCGCTAAGAAGAAGCATGTCCTTATTAAGTAAATTAGCCAACTGACTGAGAAATTGAAGTATGAAGATATTTTGTGGTTATGATCAAATTTTTTCATCAATTGCATGTAATAGTATTATACTGGAAACAAACTGAGCTTTCCTAATTAAGATTGTTCCCTCTCTGACTCTGTTCTAGATGCAGCCTCAGGTTTGAACAAGTCATGGATTGAAATTATGACTTCCCAGTGAGATAATTGATTGCATAATGAGGAAAGAGAGAGAGGCACCCACTGTGTCCTATCAGAGATGGGAAAAGGGGACACTTGCAAAGTAATTGAGCATTCAGGGAGACACTTGCCATTTCAGCTACCTATGCATGTAGCATTCCATGTTTACTTCAACTTTACTGTGTTTGTACCTTTAAAGTGCTTGGAATGAAATGCTCAATTTCCATGTCCAATTTATGGAGCAATTTTTAGGCCAATTTGCACTCCACAACTTTCCTTGTTTTCTGGGAATGTTTGCTGCAACTTTCTGTACTGTAAGGTCATCTTAGCTATTTGTTGTGATGTACTAAATGGAACGTTTTGAAATGAATCTCTAGTTTGCCCAGTTGCTGTGAAAACCTCTTTCCTATTTAATTGCTCAACTCTCCCTGGTTTCAGGATATTTAAAAGATATTTTATGATAATATTTGGATATCCATCTAAATGGGTAAATGAAGAACATGCCTCCTTAGATGGGAATGTGGAAAGAAGTGCTATCTTCCACTGAATGACACTTCTTTTGAAAAAAAAAAAAGGTTCTTTTTGGTCAGCTGATAGTTCTGGAATTGGGTTAGTGGTATCCTATTTGAAACAGTGATCTTGGTACATGTACGTTGCCCAAAGCAATTACTCCCACCCCCCCTCCTTGCAGTACAATTTGATAGCTTTTGGTTTAATTTTGCAGTTCAGCCAGAGTGATACTTAACAGTTTCTTAAATTCAGATAATTTGATTATGGCTAGTGTTTTAAACAAGAATGAGCCTCTATATGTTAAAAATTGTTGCATGGCAATTGTTTGATGGGTTTCCACTTATGAGAGTATAACTTTCTTGACAAAGAAATCGATTGCAATTGTCCATTTCATCACCTGAAAGCTGCCCAACAGTAGCATACAAAGATGTTCAATTCTCATTCTCATTTTAAGCACAGCTATGATAAATCAATCAGCAGTGAACAAATTGTGTTGAGTGGCACTATGTAGCAGAACTATAAAATTGAGCCTTAACCTTTTGAGTTGTGCTGTGGGTAAGTGGAAAGTATTGTGGGTTACCCTGTATTGATTATGGTAGTCTTTCATCTCTTATATCCCCAAGCTCATCAGCTAGTTGCTGTACTGCAAGTGATCCCCATTTTCCCATTTCTGGTTGCACCTCTACCTTTCTAAATCCTAAACTTAAATTATGGAAATTATGCCACATCAAGTGCATGTATCTACTAAGTTTTCTTGAGTCATTCTGTTGTTTCCCTCCAGACTCTGCTAGGTGCTGTATTTGATCCCAGTCTTGGTTCTAGTTGTAGCATCAAAAATGCTATAGCCTTGAGATGATTGTTTTCATGGAGCTCAGAGTTTGATAAATGACTATGACCTGTGAAGAGTGATGAAATGCAAGGTTTTGCTTTTTGTTACAGCAATGCCAATTTGAAAATGTGACATTTTCCCCCTGAAATACCCATTGTGCTCATTTATGCACAAAAAATTTGCGAATTTCCTTCATTAATCAAACTTCATTGGATTATTGGGATTTATTCAATGTGTCTTCCAGTTTTGTCTCTTTCAAGTGATGATCTCTGTCAATCAAGAAAGTTTGATTGAACTTGTAATTGCTCATCTTGATATTAATGAGAAAACATAAAGTAACCATGACAAAACAATTGATCCTTAAGATCTCAACAGAATCACTCCAATTCATCTATTCCACTCAGGAGTACAAAAAATAGATTGGTTTCCTCTTTGCTCATGGTTATTGTCCATGTTCTATTCCATGCCCTGAAAATGTTCCTCATTGCCATTTATTTTCCTGCTGGATTTGAAATATGGAATTGATTGTTACTGCATCTTTCAGATTTATTTGGCATGTCAATTTCAGGTTGAGTTATTTGCCAAGGGCTGTTATATAATATTTGAGAGACAATATTGTCCTAGACAATATATTATTGGTGAATACAGACATTTATACATGGTAGTATGCAGGTGATGTGATGCCTGTAATAAAGCAGACTCTGATAGTCAAACATCTTTGAAGTAATACCCTTTCTCCTGTGCGAGTCGATGAATGACAAGGCTTGAGTCTGCCAGACCAGTTCCAAAGGAATTCGGTCATAGGCATTTTTTTCAGTTGTGCTACCTCTGAAGGCTTATCGTTTGAGATGAGTCATTTCATCATCACAGTTCCTCCCCTTCAAGATATTTGTACTTCACGTCACTAATTTTCTCGTATGCAGAGTGAGAAAAAACACTGGGCAGATGTTTTCCTCTCTGTTTTCTTGGGTTTGAAAATGGTGGAACTTTTGGAATGGAACTTTTACTCTCGCAAATAGGAATTCAATCCGAAAACAGTGTACAATGGTGACTCACCAAGAAAAGGTCAAAGTTGTGGTGCTGTACATTTTCAGCAATTTATTATTTTCATCGCCATACTTGAAGATAAGGCTTAAATTCAAGCAGTTTTTAAGAAGATGCCCCCCACCCCCACACACACACTTTTCTAGGAGAGTTCGAGGTGTTTTCGTGCACATTTCCCTGAAAGTTTTATAAGAATTATTGACCTCCCATGGGCCTATTTTTTTTCCTGCGTGGTCATGTAAAATTAGCCGTGTACAGTAGAAATTCATCTTGAGCACCTTCGAAGAATTACTAAATTTTCCAAAATGCCAAAAAGCTTTTTCATCCACGTAATCCACGAATTCTAGTATCGTACTCATAAATGCTTTGATCGTGGAAAGGACGTCTTGCAAAGCTATAGGTGATGTGAACCTAGCAACAACAAAAAATAACTTTGCCCCCGAGCTCTAATCCAATGTGTCCCATTATCCATCTATTTTTCCTTTAATCAATTAAAAATTTTCGAAATCCGGCTAGCCTTTTGTGTCCACCCTGAATATTTCCAATGACTTATTTCTACCTTACCTTAGAGTTGTTTTCGCGCGCGCATAAGTATCTCTCGAGCGCGGAAATTCGGGGGCGATCACCTCTTGCCTTCATAAGAATACGTGTACTTCATGTTTCTGCCTAATACATGCACAAGATTATTTTTCACAACGAGTATTTTAGGTCGGAGGATTTTCGGGTCGAGTTAAATATGAACTTGCTCGTGTTCAGTATATCGTATTATGAAAGTTTTACTCGCCATTTGCAAGTTCAAGGTCCACGCACTCTAAATTTGCGGAAGAGGCGGAGTAGATGATAATACACCAAATGAAAGGCCTATTCCAATGCCTATTTCTATAATTAAAGTGTTCTTTGTTCAAAAATAGTCTGAACTCTGAGAAAAATGAATTTTACTCATTGTTTGAATATCCTATTTTCTCAGTTGGGTTAAATGTATCTAGCGAAATACATGTATGGGAACTCAACATTTCCATTTGGTTGGGGAAAAGAGGACTATTTCTCCCACGGTCAGTCCACATTAGGAACACGAGCACTCCTGTGAACAGATCACTACTGTATTTTGTATCCCAGACATAATACGACCACGAGAGGTTGAACTTGGAATCTGATTTGGTCAACGTCCGTTTCTCTGGAGGCTCTTCGCTTTCTAACGCCTCGTATTCAATCAGGGTGGGAAGAAGAAAAATTTTAATTCATGTTCGTTCTCTATCTTGGTGAATTTGCCACAGATTCAATTCTTGTCGAAGCCGGAAGTGTTCCCTGTCTTATGAGGAAGAAAATTGAAGAGTAAATGAGGAAAGGACATGGCACGTGGATTCACGTACGCCATCACAGCAGGAACGCTAGCAGCTCTGGGTAACGTGACAGCCAAGCTAACCTTCAGTCAGGCGGAAGCCCAACGTCTCTGTTTGGTTTCCCTAGCCATCTTCAGCACCATCCTACCTGTCGATGAAACATGCAGAGATGTGAGTTACTTCTTCCTTTCCGCGAGAACCGAATTTGACTGGCAAGAAAGAACACTTTGTCCTTGAACAATTTACTTTCTCAGCTGAATCTCAAACTAATCCGGTTCTTGCAATTCTGTTTCTGCGGTATTGTGCAAGTGAATCAAATTCATTCCCATGAGATCAGCCCAATGTGTTGCGTGGCACCCACTTAACAAAGTTCCTTTTTAGAACTGGATCTGACGTTATGCACGATAAACACATGGAGCGTTTAGGAATGAACCCACGAACGCTGGTCTCCCATTTCCAAAATATTGAACCACACGCACATCCAGACCAAGGTTTCAGTTTTAAATGCGGCTTGTTTCATTTCGTGGAGAAGCAATTGTTTAGTTCAAGGAAAACCTATTGTCTCGGATTTTGCCCCCTGCTTCCCACTTCTCATCACGTGCAAAGCTAAACCGAAATTCCAGTGCTCGATAACTGAGTTGGAGATAGATGAGGAAGTGGGCGACTAAACCATGAAGAAGAAATTGAAATACCTTTGTTCAGCTGCTATCATTTGTTTTCAATGGAGATACGGGATTAGGTTTTGTTCGGCGCGGTAGTCGTCTTTCGTTGTGGTCATCAATGGTTCCTTTCACCGCCTAAAATGCTGAGGGTATACTATAATCAAGTTTTACTAACGTCATAATCTCTGATCGATTTTGCTAGTGGGTCCTGCTGTTCCAAGGCGTGTCAGCGGTCGTGTGCATCGTGTCCAATGCGACTATGGTACCGAATCTAGTCAAGGCATTGGCCCTGTGCGAAAATTCCGTCCAAGCCGTTGTGATCAATACCGCCGTGCAAGTCATCGTCACGGTCAGCGCTTTCTCGCTCCCCTCTTTCAGGAAAGTTTTTTATTTTTTCAAAACGCCAAAAAGTGAATGATGATGATATGCAGTCTCTGGTAGGGATGTTTCTTCTCGGAGAACAATTGGGAGTATTCTGGTGGATGGGGATGACCTTCATCCTCCTGGGTTTCCACATCATCTACAGGAGCCAGGACAATATATTTAAAGCTTCTTGATAGTGGCGGCACTTTGCATATGCGTCTCGCACGTACTGTGGCTTGTGGTGTGCACGATCATCTTTCCCCTGAATTCACGCTCTCACAGCGAGAGTATGAATCTCTTCACACCAGCCAATATACCTTTCCTTTTTTATATGTTTATGTATACGTATGTATACGTATTATGTTTATGTGTTACCATGGGCATCAATGACACGAAGATGTGATATAATGCGAATACAACCACTGTTTCCATTAATGTTGTCGATTTCATTCTCGCTCCTCCTTTTGAAGTTAGCATTGAGCTTGTCTGAATCGTATTCTTGCGCCTCTCCAAGATGGAAATATTGTGAGAATACGAATTCGGGAAGCTGCAAAATGCTAGCGTTCGTCTTCTAATTATTCGGTCGGAATGGGTTCCTATGAAACGCTGTCAGCGCGGTTCCTTTGGGAAGAAGTGGGTACGTATTATTGGCGAAATGGACCACTGACTTTTCCTATTCGGGAAGTCCATAGGAATACATTTCATTTCGCTTTCGCTTTCGCTTTCGCTTTCGCTTTCTTAGTGGAGGGCGATTACTTCCATGTGCATGTTTCGGTTTTTATGATAGCATAGCCTGTGGGAAATGATGAAGTGAAAGGCTGCCTTCAGCTTTAATATTCCCAATGATCTGGAGGATTTTCGTATTTGACTCCTTTCACTCATAACGTCGTGGTCGCTCCTCGTCAGGTGGCTGGCTAACTGGTAACAGTCTAGTTCTCCCGACCCCCCGTCTTTGGTCCTCTCTGTGGAAGAAATACCACCGAGGTTTCGCCTTTCCCTCCGACAGAAGGTAAGAACTCTATTATCATCGCAGTAGCATCCACATCTCGTACAGCAGTGGTTCCCAAACTTTTTTGGTCACAACTCAAAATTCAACATCCAAACATGGGTCGCGACCCTGGGTTTGGGAACCCCTGTCGTACAGGAATCGAGTTCTTATCGCATGCACCTCTCTCGGTGTGAAAAGTCGAGTCCTGTTCTCGGACATTTCCCTTGTAAAACTCCTTTCATTTTGGCCTAGACTCTCGAAAACATCTTGAGTGTCTTTCTGGAGCAGACAGGAAAGGCTTCTTCACAGCCCTTTCCTCATCATGGTTTTAGTATCGGCTAACAGGAAACATGAAGAGACGTTAAAGTTTATATGCGAGGAAGAAGGGAGAAGACGAAATCAGGAGAAACACGTTCGTCCGGAACAGTTTTCAGAGTAATGTCTGCGTTGGTGAGTGAGAGAGAGAGAGAGAGCAGCTGGGTGAATCGTGCCGAGTCATTTTTCTGTTTCTCCCTCCATCTCTCATTCATGGTATGCGACGAAGAGCGCATCACGCGTGACTTTACCTCGAAAGAAACGACGAGATCTGCGGAGTTAAAACTGAGTAAGCCCCGAGGGAAACGGGAAGACAGAATCACGGGGTTTTCCCCTCGGGGCTTACTTTTTTTTTCCGTCTGACTTTCTCCGTACTCCCAGGCCTTCGCACACATGGCTTGCAACGTTCACCTACTTCTCCGGATCAGTGTGCCGTGGACCGATCCACTGGCGCAAGTCTCAACTCTTCATTGCATTGTGTCGTGGCGGCTGTAGCCTGTAGCGTGGCCGTAGCGTTGGTGTTCGGGTGTCGGCCATGGAGTGAGTGAGAAAGGAGCTTTCACCCACTCGGCCTGTGTTCATACGTGGGCTCCCTGTTTCTCGCTTTCCTTTATATACTACCCGACTTCGTGTGATTTCATCTGATCTCTGCATGTCAACATGAGTAGTGCGTGGCTGAGGATCACCAATTTCTTCTCTTATCATGACATTTCCTCGTCGAATGCCGAGGCAGGCCAAGCCCGGCTATCCCGTGGATCGAGAGAATCTTATGATAGTTCCACGGTGAGTTGATGTTCAAGGTGCTGCTGATGGCTGTGTTAATTAATGCTCGAGTCATTTAAGGGATGAATGAAAGTTCGCGGCGACCCTTATAATCTGGCTGTGCGTGTATTCACACATGCTGAAGGCCTCGGCTTCTAGTTGCAGGAAAATGCCTGCCTCGCCACTCGTTATCTCGTTCTATTCTGGCATGGTCGAATGGGAACGAGGATGCAGTTGTGAATGGGCTCTGCGCATCACTTGTACTGTTACAATTTTGTCCTTGAAGGGAAGCCTGACCTCCCCCCTCCCCTTCCTGCTCTTCCAACCTTCCAGGCGAATGAGGAAGAATACAGTGAGAGCAGGAAAATATCTCTCCAAGGCAAAGCGTGGGCGTCTCGCGATTTTATGTCCTCGTATGCAGCTTTGTAAACATGTGGAACACAAAGGAGGATACTAAAAACCGAAACCCTTATATTTTGTATCCACGAGCTGTCAATTCCAATCAAAATTTTAATACTAAACTTATGTAGGTCCGCATTGATACGAACTCGTTTCGTTACAACGCTAGAGGTCTCTGCCACACGAAACCAGGGCAAGCGAACCGGTAACTGGGATTCCTTAGTCATGGGAATTAATTCCCTGGTCACGGAAGTTCTGATATAATTTTGAAAGAGAACCCCACTCTACAAAAGTAGAACACGATATGACTTCTGAGAACGATCGCTTTCTTATGAACGAGCCCTTTCTTATCAGAAGTTATCAGAACCTCAAAGACACACATGGAAATTCAACGATCGATGACACACCTAGAATACATGTGAGCTTATAATTAGGGATACTTAATTATTATTACCAGCTTCGTCACAATTTACTCGTCTAGTTATGACGTTATCGAACTAGCCAGAAAATTCTCTTCTATCAAGGGGGATGCCATTATTTGAATCAGTTGTCAAGTAAGAGATCTCAGAGATGCCGGTCTGGTTTTGAGTGCCTACTGTTTCCTGCATAGGCACCTTATCCATAGTTGAAAACATTGAGTCTATATGCCAATGATTCTGGGCGTGAAGAAATCGTTTCCTTGCTTTTGAGGGTTTCATCGATTTCAGCTCCTTAAGGTTTTCGCTTTGCAGTTGCCTGCGTCCTTATTCCCGCGCCGTGTCCGAGACCTGGTTCACGAGTGTACTCAAATATGTTAACCCGGGGGGGTTTACCTGCGTTTTTGTGCATTCACGAAAATGGAAATGAACCCTGTCTCGTCGAAGTGTTCTCACAAACAGGTTATCTGTGGAGACGAACTCTCACGCAAGTAACATTGATGGGAATATAATCGCGTGTGAACCCCCATAAGCGAAAGCCGAAAAATGGGTTTCACCCTCTCGGTTGGATGGATTCTCCAAAAAGTCTCCGGAAATGAAGAGTTTCGTTTCGAAGTGTTGAAAGATAAAGCTACAGCAACTGCTCCAGTTAGAATTAAAGTCCTTGCGGAGTGGAAGTCGCATGGTACAAATTGGATGGCTTCATGGTTGTCTTCCGATCTGCGAGTTCTTCCCGTTTCCTCTTTGACGAGACACAATCACTGTGATGATGGTAATACCAACTCACTGTTGTGGTTATTAATGTATCTGCTAGACAACATTCTGGCGCCGAAGTTATCGTGCATGAAGTCAACACAACGTTCGCCGTCTTGGCATGGGCATCATTGCTCCCCTATCTCAATCCATGGGACTATTTCCTCTGGGGATACCTAAAGGACAAAGGGTGGATTGAATAAAACTGACTTTAGCGTAATAAAGCTATACACCTCCTGTAATGGTGCTAAAGGAGGTTTAAGTCTCCTTTAGCGGTGCCAATGGAAGTTTAAAGCTTCATTGCACTGAAGTCAGTTTTATGCAATCCACCCAAAGTCTTTAAATCCATTTTTCCACCCAATCCTTTAAAAGAGTTCCATGCACGTTGGGAGACCTGAAGGCGGCCACAGAACATGATGTCTACTCTATTAATATTTCCCGGTATAATCTGCAGGCCGTAGTTCAGAATTACACCACACGCCTCCGACGTGTGATTGCGCACAGAGGAGGGCACATTGAACGTGTTTTTTCATGGAGTATGACTTTCCCGTGATTATGGATTCTCGATGCAAAATTTCATATATCTAACTTCTTTTTTTTTTCAGAGCTTAAATATCTATAATGGTCCGATGTATAAAAAATCAACCTTTACATGCTTTCAATAAATTAATTTAAATTCATATTTACAATTTTAAAATTATGTCGTGATCCTGCAATTAAATTAGCTTTGCTTAGAATAAAATAATTATTTGCCGCAATATGAATATGCTTTTCAACATTTCCGCGATTTTCCGTTATCTAACTTTCAAAAACTTTTTTTTTTAAGCCTATGAAAAGAATTTTTGAAACTTACTCTTCAAAGTGTCAAAAACCTCAAAGTTCCCTCTCTTTTACTGCTCCAAATTAGTGCAGGGACATAACTGCCACGTCATGAACATGTCATCAGATTGGTGAGGTAAAGCTGACAGCCGCCATACAGGAGAAGTCCACATGGAGAATTCTTGAAATTTGTGGTTCCAAATGGAACCATCAGAGATGATCAGATTAAAGAAAATACTTATTCACGAAATCGCAGATCGAGAGGAGTGAAAAATCATAAAGCCTATTTCAACATGTATAATTGCGTTGGACTCGTGTTGCTCTGACGCTGCGCTTCTTGAGGGTCTTATGTACATTATGGAAAATACTAAAAAGTACTTCGAATTCAAAATGGCTAGACCTAGAGCAGAAATTACATCAGGATTTAATCCCAAATATGAGGGTACCGTTTCTTCATCTCGCTCGTGGTGTGTGCTTTTGGGCTTTGAAGTAATGATTTGCAGTAGACCTGAAATGACTGAAAAATATATATCCAGACCACACAGCCCTGCTAAAAGAAAAGTACAATTTGCATTCAGATGAATAGGTTGAACTTGCCTTGAGAACAACTATTTTTTGGAATTTCCAATAATGCATTAGAGCAAGAAGTATTCAATGCCACTCGTAATTAAGTCAGAGTTTCCTGTGAAAGGTTGCTTAACCGATTTTTGCGTGCGATCTACAGATGGACATTTTTCGACTTTGGATATTTGGATCTCACGCTCAAAGTTTCTGTCGTGACCTTGAACTTTTTATGGAATACCGAACGAACGTGAAGCGGTCGTGGACTTGTCCATGAAGTAACGATACAAGTGTAAACGAGGACAAAATCTTTAGGTACAAAACAACACAAGAATCTTGTTGGACCTCCCCCCCAGATATATAGGGAAAATTCAGGACCTGAAAATCCTCTGCTATGACATTCTGTGGAT